AATATTATATATAATATATATATTATATATATATATATATATATTAAAAAAAAAAAAAAATTAACACAACAAAAAAGTATATAAAAATATATATTGTTTTTTTGGCTACCTGCTAAGCAGATGAGCAAAGTGTACCTTTAAATGGTACGTAATGAAAATTTAGTGTTAAGTTTATCAACGATCGATTTGGTCAAATTTACACAAAAAAAAGGACGATAAGATCCAAACGTCTTAATAAAAAACTGATTGATTGAGAAAGGACAGAAAAAGGGGTTGGGGTGGGAGTCAATGGGTGGTTTTCGAAAGGTTCTAATGACGAATCGATTTAAACTCCACACGATTATTAAATCTGTTTAATCACACGTACAAGAGGAAAAATGAATTGCAGTTTCAATTCCGCGTACGTTTTCAGATTATTATACGTACGATTACGCTTACACACACACATATATATATATATTATAACATACACGTGTATATGTATATATATAATTTATATATGTATACAATAAGTATGTTAAAAATTGAACACACAAAAATAGACGAATGAAATACAATACATGGAAACACACGCACGCATGCACGCACCATTACATATACATATACCATACACACACATGCACACACGCGTAAATGACATAATAAATAGACAGAAATGTCGATCGCGGGAAATATTCTGAAAGAAAGAAAAAAAAAAAAAAAAGAAAAGAAAAGAAAAAAAAAATTCGGCGCAACGTGTACCTTTAAAAAAAAAAAAAAAGTAATCAATCGTAGAATTTATTTATATTGGAAATTTAGAATTTAGAAAATCGAGTATTTTCATGATGAATTTGAATGAAATGAAAAGAAAAAGTTAGAAATGACAAAAAAAAAGAAATAAAATAAAATAAAATAAAATACAATTGGTAAAATTATTAGAGACACGTATGATAATCTCGTGGCACGGGGAGTGGGGGAAATGAAAAAGAATAAAAGTTACAAAAAAAAAAAAAAATAAGAAAATAATATGTTTAAATAAAAGTGTGTATTTTCGATACATCGAAAAAAATGGACACGGTTTTTATTTTATTTTATTTTATTTTTTTTTGATTCGACAGAAAACATTGTCACCGCACGTATTGGTTAATTTTTTTTCCCGTATATATTTAATATATATATATATATTTTTTTTTTATTTTACATTTATTATAATAAAAATAATTGTAAATTTATTTTTATTTATTTTTCACATTTATTTAATGTTGAATAAAACGTTTGAAGCACCGTGTTGTTCTTTCCATGTGAAATTTGTGAACGATATTAAAATTTGTTCAGTGGGTAATATTTTTGAATTTCCCGCGTCGGCAATTACTTTTCTACGTTTCCGACAAAGCACGCGTTTTATATGTCACGAGTATATTAAAAAAAAAAATATATAAATAAGGAAGGAACGATTAAAAAAAAAAAAAAAAGAGAGAGAGAGAGAGATAGAGAGAGAAAAGTGAGGTATAATAAAAACGTAGATTATATATAGTTTTTGTTGTATTTTTGTTTTTTGTTTTTCATATTTTTGGCGTTCGTGAAAGACAAATTTCTTCTTCGGAAGTACAAAATTTCTCTCTGAACGAGCTAAACGTTTATCGACACGAATTCGATTGCAAAGATTGGACGATATATATAATCTTTTGACAATTCTATCATCGACCATTTGTAATTTTTCGAAAATTGGTGGTAGTGGGGAGAAAAAAAAATCATAAACAAATAGGAAAAAAAGAAAAAATTCATTCAAAATTCATTTCCTGTCTTTGTCCAATCGATCTCGTGTCGATCGTTTTTATCGTGCAATTCTGGTGTAAATTAAATTATTAAGAAAATTAATAATAATAATTATAATAATAATAATAATAATAATATTAATAATAATAATAATTAATAAACTATTGTATCCACATGTATATATTATAGAAAGTGAGAGAAAGAGAGAGACAGAGAGAGATATATACGCGCGTACAGCAAAACGGACACGTTTATCACTTACAATACACACACGATAAAACACACGATACATTTACACACATATACGCATAATCACACGATAATAATAATAATAATAAAAATAATAAAAATAATAATAATAACGTCAAGCACCCTTAAAATGTTGAAAGTACACGTGTCACGTGCCGAAACACGCGTATCAGCAGCGATTTGACAAATTTTTCGGTTGGAAGATTACAAAAATAAAAAAAAAATAATGAAATAATGATTTAAAAAAAGGATGCGATTAAAAAATGCAAAATGAAATTTGTAACTAGGAAGATCTAGGAAATTTGCGAGAGAGAAAAACAACAACAACAACAAAAATTAAAAAAAAGAAACAAAAGGGAAGGAAATATATTTGATTAAACCGAAAAATTGGATGGATATGGGTTTGATA